GGGCTGGGCTGGGCTGGGCTGGAAGGCGACGCGGCCGGCTGCTCTGATTGTGGCCTGGCGTTGGAATCGTGAGTCCTCAGCTCCCCCATCGGGATCACGCAAATGCTCGGGCATCCGAGGTGTCTTGCCGAACACCCATTGAGAAGGACTGTAGCCACATCGCCTTCTCAAGTCGTTCTTGGCAGCATTGACGATGGGGGCGGTGATGTCGACCTCGTCGCTGCCAACAGACATTTGGTAGATCACGCGGTCCCACACTGCCTTCCACCACGCTTGTTGACGCTCCACCATTCCGGCCTGCCAATGGCTCTGGGTGGCCACGCTTCGCACACTGATGTTGTGCCAGTCACACAGCCTTCCAAGAGCGACTTGAGGACCGCCTTCAAGGTCGAGGACGATCGTCTTGGGAGGTCCGAAAGGGAGTATCCACAGTTCGTTGAACTTGGCTTCCAGGATGTCCGCGCTCGTGCCCTCCACCTTCGCCGCCAAATGAGAGGTGGTCCCGTAGTCGACGATCGAGATAAAGGGGTGCTTCTCATCATTGATGTCGTGGGCGTAGAAGATGTCCACCCCCAAGGTGTCGTTCCAGTAGCACATGGACGGTATCGTGCTAGGGCGAGCAATCTTCGGACCCGCGCTGGCATCACATACTTGGCATCTCATAGATCTTGCGGCTTTCAAGACCGTACCATCACACCCTGCAAGTCTCAAATGCCGCAGTAGGTCCTCGCCACGAGGGTGCCCGAGATTCTGATGAAGGCGACGGAGGGCAGTCGCGATCGGTGCCGGAGTGGCTTCTCCAAAAGTGATTCCACCAGCTCCCATTTGAACGCCACCCCCATCTTGTGCGTGGTCTGGGGCCCCTGAGATGGCACACACTTGGTGTACCCGGTCGAAACATGCCACCTCGATGCCCATGTCCTTGCCTTTGTACATCACCATGTGAAAACCGCCGGAGTCCTCGTGGTAGTACTGCCCGAAGTTCTCTTTCAGCTCGACGAAATCCTTGCGGCCGAGGAGAGCGTCGCTACTCTCTCCGTCAATAACAACAGCACCTCCCCCGCTGAGTTGGTGGCCCATCAGCTCGGTGAGTGCCTCGTCGCACTGATCCTCCTTCCCATGTAGGTGTAGTCGTAGCTCCCTAGGATAGCCACCATTGACAATGTGGAAGGCGGCTTCCTTGCCCTCGGCGCTCCGGTAGTAGTCCCATGCCATTAGCTCCATGACATCCTTGGCCAGGGCCGCTGCTTGCTCAGTGGCCTCGGTGCCGCCGATTTCGAAGATGACGAGGGGGCTCTCGATGGACTCCGGGTAGACGTGGTCGGCCATGTAGGAAGTGGTCGCGCAGATGAGGGATGCCAACATCACACTGAGTCTCGCGGCGTTTCCATGAAGCATTTTTCTGATGCCCCGTTTTGGCCTATAGTTGCCGTCTCCAAGGCCCCTTTCGGAGGCCTGTAGTCGAGGTAGAGGAAAACCACATGGACTTCGTGTGCCGCTTCGCCTTGATTACGCCTCTCGTAGTGTGGAAAGTGAGGCACCACCTATCCCCGCTCCATGGCTCGGTCGAGTGCTTCAAGAAGGGATCGAACTCGCAGAAGCGGTTGTGGGTCTCGTGTAGTCGTCCGGGTAGCCACTGCCCGGTTCCAGCGCGTCTCCATTTCACGTCGGTGCCGACGTCCTCCTCTTGGACCTTTCGGTCCTCCAACCACAGTTCGCCTCCACCGTCTTGTCCGACTGATATACTGTAGTTCTTGCTACCTCTGAGGTTGTTATAGTCGTGGTGCGTCTTGGTCTTCACATTGCGGCTGAGTGTGATAGAGGTCCACTTGGCTTCATCTCCGAGTCGTCTGCGTGCGAACTCGTTCAGGTAGCGCACGAGTCCGCTGTTGGCGCGGGTCTTATTGGTGACCCCGAGAACTCCTCCGTGCGTATAGAGCCCGTAGGTGTGGTAGTGATCGATGGCATTGCGGGAGCCGAACACGCTGTCGCGCTGTGTCTTCACCTTCTCGAGATTGAGGGTGTTGAGCAGCATCACCAACTTTTCCTCGGTGTAGTCGCATTCAGCCATTGCCTGAACAAAGGGGTCGCCATCACCGCACCCTTCCACGCTGCACTCGTAGTTATAGCACTTGAAGTCCTTCGCCCGCTCAAGGTCCTCCTCGGTGATGAACACATCACTCGTGGCCGTGGCCTCGTCTTTGCCGCAACATCCGCCGATGTGCTCGACGGTCTTACCTCCAAAATGGCTGCCGTCGGGCTCATACTCGCTCCGTCGTGGATGCAGTCCCCCAGGTCGTTGTTGATCAAGTAGCGCGCAATCTCCTGGTTCATCACATCCACGCCGCCTGCCTTCGTAGGGCTCGCACCGGGGCGCAGGCGTGCCGCCGGGCAAGCCATCCGTCCGAGCACTCATTTCTTGGCCGGCCCAGAGCCGACCTTTGCCTTGTCCTTCCCTCCAGAGCTTGGATCTCCTCCAGGGTCTTCGGGTCCATCTCCGAGTCCATCTCCGTTGAGTAGCCGGCGTTCGGGGTTGAGCGCTTGGACGACTTCGGCGGGATCGGGTAGTCGTCGTGCTGGCTGGGGAGCGATGTCACCCGCCACTCGTGCTTGGAGGTCCACGACGAACTCGGCTGATGCCCACGGGGGGCTCTCCGGAAAAGGCACCGTGGCGTTCTTCTCGATCGACCCCTCGCTGCCGTAGTGCTTCTGGCACTGGTCCTCCTCCCACCACTTGGCGAAGCGGACCAGCTCGACATGCGGGTTGCCGTTCATCCTCACCTCGCGCGCCGCCCACATGCCGTACTCCTTTGGGATCTCCTGAAACTCCCAGCCCTTGTACTTGCCTATCTTCATCAGTTCGTTCCCTGGGGCCCCCACGTGATCCCTCACGAGCCTCAGCAGGTTCCCTTTCGTGATGTTTGAAGGAAACACGACGCCCAGCTCGGTGGCCTTGATCTTCAGCTCCGGAAGGGTGAGGTTGGTCACCGAGCGCATCCGGTGGGCAGTATAGAGGAGTTGGCATCGCTCACCCGATGCTCCTGAATCACGGCGCGGATCTCCTCGGGGGACCAGTTGCGGTGTACAACCAGTCCGAGGCGAGTCGCCTCGCTGAGCAACTGCACCTTGTTCATCTTGCTGATCGCGGGAGGCTTGCATGGGCTTTCCATGACCTTCGGGAACAGCGAGAGGGGATTGCGTAGGGCAGCTACTCGGAAGCTTTGCAAAAGTGCTTCTGCCAATCCACATGATCTCAAAAGCTTGGTCTCGTCCGCAGGGCTCCCATCTGTCAACTGAAGTCTCAAGAGGCTTTTCGGTCTTACAGCAGAAACCCTGTGTAACGCGCAAGTCGCTGATAGACTTCAGCAGCATCTCTTTCTGTAGTGTAGACTGGGTTTTCCACGTACACGGATTGCACAAAGCTCTGCGTGGTGTGACATGTATCCTGCGCCATGCATGTTCGCTTTCTAACCAGAAATCTGAAGCAATCCTGGTTCTTCTCCACCAAGTGATAAAGGAAGCACTGTGAAGACGATCTTGTGTCAAAAGCTCGCGAACTTCGGGAGATAACTTCTTGTCGTAAAAGATTTTGTACTGAGATCCCCATTCCGGTTGAACACGATCTTCACTAGCAGCAACAGTAGGCACTGTCGTAGTAGTAGATGAGATTTGCAGTCGGTGGCATTGTCGAGCCTGTGGTGAGCCTTGGTGGAGGTGGTAGAAGCAGCACATGTCGAGGTACCTCGGGGCCTCAAGTCAGCATTGAAGTTTTGGGGCTTGAGTGCAGAGACCGCGAACGCCACGTATGCGCGATTGGCGACACATCCACTGTCTGCGATCGCAAGCTTTGTACAGCGATCATCAGGCTTGACTGGAACTATGGGAATGGCTGGATGACCCGAGGACGTCGTCACCAACGGAAACTCTCTCAGGTTGACCTTGGTGAAGTCGGCGACGTTCTTCTCGACATTGTACACCATGCCGAGCTGAGCCAATGCCGATTTCGACATCAGCAAAGGGATGTCGCCGTTGATGATGGACGTTTTCATCTCGACGGCTTTGTCCCCGAGCTTGAACCGCACAATCACGTGAAAGGCCGAGTGGTGAATCTTGCCAGTGCCAAACTTGAACGCCTCGGCCTCGCGGATCAGCTCTGGCTTGCCCTGATAGTCCTGAACGAAGTCTGAGTACTGCTGCAACCAAACCGTCCCGGCAACCGACTTAGCACAGGCCGTATCCGTGATGCCAAGGAGCGATTTCTCTTCATGCTTGAGCGCGTAGACCTCGGCGGGGACATGGTAGCACATTTCCACTTCCTTGGCATTGCTTCTGTTGGGGCATTCTGGGTCTTTATGCCAGTGGCCTTTCTTGCCGCAGCTCATGCAGTAGGACCGGGCTTTCCTGAGTTTAACCTTGTCTTCCTTGGAAACCCCATGGCCAGGACCTCCGCGATCGCGCCCACCATTGCCGCCGCGATCTCCTTGGTAGCCCCTGGCCTTTGACTGTTCTTTGTACTTGTCCTTTGCAGACTGGTAAGTGGCATAGGCTACAGCGACTTCGTCCTCGAAGGCATCCAGCTCCTCGTCATCGTCGACGCCCTCGTCGCCGGCCTCGCTGAAGTGAGCAGTGTGTGCCCTTTTTCCCTTTGTCTCCCAAGGTTTGCGGTGCCCTCTGTCGTGGAGAACAGCTGCTTGTTGGAGTCGGGTAAGGTTATACTCATTGCCAACGCTCGCAAGCAAATTTAACTCCTGCGCCTCCTCTAGCTGCAACCTGTCGATGTACAGCCATGCCGCGCATTCTTGTGGTAGACTGCATCCGACTTCTCGTAGACGAGCGTGTAGGCGGTCATACTCGGAGTTGTATTCGCGTATGCTCTGTCCTTGCCGCCGTCTCAGGCGACGAAAAAAGTCTGAGAAGGCCTTCCCGATCCTTGCCACCTCGAGGTCCAAGAACCTGGCATTGATCCAGGCCACCAGGTAACTCACACCGCCCTCCGAGCCAAGGCGGGGAACAGATAGTTCTTCTGCTGCAACCCAAGCCTTTCCTGAGAGGGCCTGGTATAAGACCAGGCCTTGTTGCGAGCAGGGCAAGTGCGTCATCCTTCGCCAGGCCTCCACTTGTCGAAGGTAGCTTCTTGCAGAACCGCCGACATCTTCTGAATCTTCTCCTGAGAAGGTTGGCACATTGAGCTTTTCCGAAGCACGCCCACTACTCCATCGGCCTTGCTTTTCGTCTGTGCCACCCTGGAAACCGCCTTGGTCGTAGTGGGCCCATCCATTCCAAGCGACCCCCGTGTCCTCGTAGCACGCACTGCTGTTCCAAGAACCCGGTCCTCGTTCGCCTGAATCGCTTCCGTGCCCACGGCCTGCTCGACCATCTGCCCAGGGAGCTTCGTGAGGAGGGCGCCATCCGTGCTCTTGAGCGTGTCCGCCGCCTTGTCCGCCACGACTCCAAGGGTCGCGTCCGTGCGCCCATGGATCATCGCCGCCGGCGGCCCAGCGGTCACTGCTGCCATTCGTGGCGGCAGTAGTAGTGTCCCAGCTAGCATGCCGATGCCAGCCGTTTGCACCATCGCTGTCCCACTGTTGGCCGCGGTGTCCCCAGTCATCTCCCCTTGACTGCGAGCCGCGGTCTTCCCACCGACTCTGTTCTGAGTCGCGCCAGCGATCATCACGTCCACGGCCGTGGTGGTAAACTGCAGAGTCATCATGTCTCGCGCTGTCGGTCCTTCCGAGGTTGGTCTCGGGCAGAACGTCCGGCGGAGCTGCCGGAGAAAAACCGTCGAACCCTGGCGGGGGTCCATTACCTGTAGCTTCACGAACTGGTACTGCGTCACTTTGGGCTCCATCATTCGACGGGACATGGCAAGACAACTAGAAGAGCCGAGGCTCCGCTACCAATGTGAAACTAGGGCCGATTGGGCTCTACGTAGACTACTGGCACTACGTGCCCTCCCGGCCTCGACGGCATCGGCCGCTTTTCTCTGCTCGATGCAAAATGCCTTCACGACATGTGCTTCTGGGATGTACCTTGCTCGGCTAACAGAGACCAGCGTAATCATCACACTCGAAAGGATAAAGACCATCAGCATTACGAACACTCGATCTATCAAGCTTCACACTAAACCCGTAAACCCTAAACCTCCCCTGCATCAAAAACGAGTACCAGGCCTTCAACCCTACTTTCGTTTAGAGAACTACCCGTAAGCTTAGGGTTAAGGGTTAAGGGTTGAGAGCTTAGGGTTGAGAGTTTAGGGTTTAGGGTTGAGAGTCTAGGGTTTAGGGTTGAGAGTTTAGGCTTTAGGGCTTAGGGCCCTCCAGAGCTTCAAAACTCGAACCCTGAACCCTTCCTCAAAAGCCTAAGCAGCTTGTGAACCCCAACTCCCGAAAACCCTCACCCTTAAACCCTAAACCCTGAACACTAAACCCCTTAAAAACCCCTAAACCGCTAAACCCTGAACCTTGAACCCGAAACCCAAGACCCCTAAACCCTAAACCCCTAAACCCTAAACCCGAATCCCAAAGCCAGCATAGAATCTGAAGCCAAAAGTCGGAGATCTCCCCCTCCAGAGCAACAAATGCTCAGCGACTCCCATGCCCTTTGGTGGTAAGGGTTTAGGGTTTAGGGGTTTAGGGTTTAGGGTCTAGGGTCTAGGGCTTAGGGTTTGGGATTTAGGGTTGAAAGTTTAGGGTTTAGGGGTTTAGGGGTTTAGGGGTTTGGGGGTTTTAGGGTTTCGGGTTTAAGGTTTAGGGGTTTAAAGGTTTAGGGTTTCGGGTTTGGGGTTTAGCAAGACTCCTCGGACTCATTTACAGGTTTAATGATTAGGGCACGTGGGCCCCTAAACCCTAAAACCTAAACCTTACTAATTACTAATGCCCCTAAACCCTACACAGCCTAAGACCCCTAAACCCCAAGCCCTAAACCCTAAACCTTACTAATTGCTATAATGCCCCTAAACCCTAAACAACCTACTCATGCCCCTAAACCCTAAACCCTAAACAGCCTAAGACCCCTAAACCCCAAACCCCTGAGCGCCGTCAAGACTCCGGTCGGGAGTCAGGGCAGAAGGCTGCATGGCAGACAGGAAGTGCAAAGACAAATCCCACCTCTGGCGGCTAGAGCCCTAAGGCCTAGACACCGGGTCTGGGGCCCCAGAAGGTTTGGGGCTTAGGGATTTTTAACCCCAGAACTCCAAGCCCCAGAGCCCCAAAAGTCTAAACCCCAAACCCTAAACCCTAAAACCCTAAAACCCTAGAACCCACCCCAGAACTCCAAGCCCCAGAGCCCCAAAAGTCTAAACCCCAAACCCTAAACCCTAAAACCCTAAAACCCTCGAACCCTAAATCCTCAGAACCTCAGACTTTGGAACCCTGGCACCCTAAAACCCCAAAGCCCTAAGCCCTGGAACCCTAAAACCCTGGAGCCCCAGACCCTGGCGCTTCGCAGTGTGGTCGTACTGTTGACGATATAAGTTTAGGGTTTAGGGTTTAGGGTTTAGGGTTTAGGGTTTAGGGACGATACAAACCCTGCATTACCCATAATAAGGAATATGTCAGACTTCCCATAGTTTAGAATCCTTCATCCTTAAAATCTAAACCCCTAAACCCTAAACCCTAAACCCTAACACCCTAAATGCTAAACGCTAAAACCCTAAACCCCTAAACCCGAAACTCACCCCCAAAAAATTGACTTAGGAACTTTCCCGGGGCCAGGAGAGTGACGGCGTTTCAGAGCGTCTTTCGGGCTTATTACGGTGTTGGAGGACCGTATCGAGTAAGCCTGAGGAGCCTTAGCCTTTCTGATGATTCTGATACGGTGCCCTGAGTACCCTAAACCCTAAACCCTAAACCCTAAACCCTAAACCCTAAACCCTAAACCCTAAGTATCTTCTATTCCGTTACAAACCCGACATGGGCACGACACACTGAAACGCCAATCTTTAAACGCCAGTCCCTTAGGGTTTAGGGTTTAGGGAGTCCCTTATCATGCCTCCATTGAACCAAGGGCTAAAAACCGACACTCAACGCAAACATCAAAGCGTAAAACTTTTAAGTCCCGATCCCCGACTCAAACCAAAATCCAAATCCCTAACCGTTCCCGAGCCCCTAATTCTGGTCTGAAACCTTAACCCTAAAACCGTTTTCCCTAAATTCGAAGCCTTAAATTCCAGCCAAGCCAAAAATGCAAACCATGACATAACTCCCAAGCCCAAAACTGGAAACGTTAAATTGTGTATAACAAAAGCCTCATAAACCTGAAAATTCTGTAAAACTCTGAGGACCCCCTTTTAAACGACAAAACCCTAAACCCTCAACCCTAAACGCTCACACCCCGAACTTGCCCCCTGAAGATCCGCGTGGGGCACCGCCCGGCGAGGTGGCACGTGCCGATGAGGCAGTTGAAGCTGATGACATCCGGAAGCTGCGAAGTCGCCTGTGGGGTTTAGGGGTTAGGGGTTTAGGGTTTAGGGTTTAGGGGTTAAGGGTTAGGGTTTAGGGCTTAGGGTTTAGGGCTTAGGGCTTTGGGTTTAGGGTTTAGGGGGGCCTTAAAGCCCGAATGCAGGGGCCTTAATGATTAGAATAGGGTTTTGGGGGCTCCTTATTATCATTATAGTATGATACACCCCGAAACCCTGTTCTAACTATTCAGGCCCCTATATAAACCAGCAGGCTTTAGGGCTTGCCGTTTAGGGCCTAGGAATCTGGACTCTGAACCCTAAACCCTAAGCCCTAAACCCTAAACCCTAAACCCTAAACCCTAAGCCCTCAGCCCTAAACCCAGAGCCATACACCCTAAAACCTAAGCCCTAAGAGGTTCAGGGTTTGGGGGGTTGGGGTGGCTGCAGCACCGGATCGCAATGATCACGTTGGACGTCAACTTGAGCTCGAAGAGAGTTCGGGGTTTAGGGTTTAGGGTTTAGGGTTCGCGGTTAGGGTTTAGGGTTTAGGGTTTAGGGTTTAGGGTTCAGGGTTTAGGGTTTAGGGTTCAGGGTTTAGGGTTTAGGGTCCAACAGCCTCGAACTGTTCGACAATCCAGCCAAACGGGTCAAGCTTGACTAATGTCCACCAAGCACGCGATGGCATCTGTTTCTTGCTTGGCACATGGTGCCCGGTAAGGGGTTTGGGCTGAGGTTTGACCTTTACGGTTTTAGGGTTTACTATCTGAGAAGAGCATCCTTGGCTGCAGCAGACTTCGTTCAGCGCCGCACTTATTCAAACGCACACGAGTTCGCTCGGTGGCTAGCGTTTTCCGTCGACGGTCCACACGGCGTTTTTGAATCAACGAGTTGGTACCGGATCGGCTCTTAGTCAGATTCGATGTTTGGCAGCGAGGATTGCGCCCAAGCTCATGATCTGCTGGTTGTCGGAGCCCCTATCCCGTTGCACATGTAGCAGCGTGGATGAAGTCACGAACGCCCACGTCGGGTCCAGCTTTACAAAGACTTCACGTTTTCAACGACTCGCTGCTGATTTTAATGCTGTCTCTTGACTCTCTGCAAGCGTGCCAGCGCTGGCTTAAAGTTGAAGCATACATGCAGCCCCTTGATCCTTGAGCATCTTAAGCTGTCACAAAAAGTGGTCGCAGGGCTCATCGAAGTTGATTGCACCTTGTAGATGTGGTGGTTCGGGTGGCTACCACTCTCCAAGCCAGGGGCAGTGAGAGACACAGCACCGCACCGTGCTACACAAGTTGTCGTGGCTGCTGGCACCTGGCCCTTGAGGGATATGAAGAAAACGCAGGGATCTGGACATGATCCAAGACACCCCGAGCCACTGCACGGTAGCCACTTAGTTCCCTTCGAACCGCTGCAGCCTTTCAACTCAAAGGCCCAAGGATTCAACTCTAAACCTAAAACCTTGCAAAGCCTTCAAGGATTAGCTTCATGTAAGGGCCTAAATAATTACCTCTACTATTTTGGGGGCTCCTTATTATAATTATAGTGGGCCCCCAAGCCCTATTCTAATTATGAAGGCGTCTAGATCAGCGGTTTGGGGGTTCGGGTTGGGGATTTCGGGACTCAGAGCCTTAGGGCTTCAGGGTTTAGGCTTC